GAGTTGGAGTGGCAGGTACATGCTGGGCTGAGGCAGCCTAGTTCATTTGGAGTTTGACTTTTTCTTGTGCATCTTTGCCATACACCATGGTAAGCCTATGAAAGAGTTAGTAATTCCTGTACAAAGGGAATGCTTCCTGTGTTGCAGCATGAGCTGATTAATTGAGGATTTAAAAGAAATGCAGAATAACATCCAGATATTCAAGTGTATTTAGGTCTTCTGTTCCAATAGGTAAATAGAAGACAGACTGCCAGTATGACAGGAGACAGTGTAATGGTAGGACATTATGCAATTAAGGCTCTAATAAAATGCATATGCCTGTGGGAGGATGAGTTAAGGTTGCCCAGGCAATCTTATTTCTGGCATTATCTATATTTTCTGCAATTGACTTTGCAACCTACACATTCTCACATCATAACTTTCTGTTGTAGTATGTACCTATGACTTGAATTTACATCCTTCTTGCAAAAGAAGTTATATTAGAAATGTAGCTTTCAGTATCTTACGACTTCAGCACAAGGCCAGCTCAAGCCATGTTCAGTGATGCCATCCTGGCTGAAACCCTGAGCAGGGCAGCACATGAGCACCCAGGGCAACTCACCAGCTGAACAGTTGCTGCATGCCCAGGTGTGCCAGCTGAAATTTGGGGAGATGGTAATCAAAACACTGCCTTTCCTCTCTGCAGTTTTGGGGATGCAACTTCTGGGCGACAACTCCACAAACTTAAGGGATCTGCAGATGTTAGACTTGAAGAATGGACATGAAACAAACTCTTCATGTACTTAGCAACTGAGAGAAACTGTGCCAGCCCCAGAATTCCTCTGCCAGTGTCAGCATAATCCTACAGTTGGCTGGGCACAGCAGGATTCGTCACTGACCTTCCCTAATGCAACCCAGGCATTGGCCCCTTGATGAACTGACTCTGTTGTAACATCAGGTGAGATTGAGGGAGGTTGCTAATGTGACTTTAATCCCATAGTTTTTAGAAGGCTTAATACAGATCCTGAGGCATTCCTAAAATGGCAAATTGCTATGTTCTCTCATATACATTTTTGAATGAAGTATTAGAGATTGTATTAATTCAAGACATTTTGCCACTGGGGCTTTCCCCCCCTGCTTTTCAGATCAAACCAGCACTCTCTGTGCAGAACAACTGCTTGTACTGTGAAGGCACAAACCAGCACAAAAAAATACTGACAGCAGATGGGCAGCCCTGAATCAAAAACAAAACCTTTGAGCTTTTCACTTCTTGGATTAGAGTTTGGTACCATTACATAAAGAGGAAATGGGAAAAAAAATGCAAGCTTAAAAGAAGATAAAATCTGATTAAAATGCAGACTAATATAATTGCAGAACATTACTCAGGCTTTCTTGTGGAGAGAGAAAAATGTCTGCTATTGTGCTGCTATAGAAACCACACAGGGCCTGTGAGTAGGTGAGAGTGCATGGAGCATGTCGTTCCCTCTCTCCCGCCTTTCTCTGCCTTGGAATGAAGATCATATCTTGCTCTGTAAGCTTGGCTTTTGCTGGCCAGGAGCTCTCTCCCAGTACAGAGAGAAGCTGTTTTCCTGCTTATGTAGTTTCTTTTAATATCTCTGCTCCCTCCCTCTTTTGTTTTGCTCTTGGAAGGTGGTGCAGGGCTGTGTTGGAGGAGGGATAAACTCCAGTCTTAGGCTGTTCACAGGTGATGGTTCTCTTGGCTTTAAAAGCTGGGAGCATGGAACACATGTTGTGCCATGGAAAGGGAGCTTTCTTGTATTTACTCTTATAAAGCCACAGAAAGATCTCACAGTGCTTTGGGAGGTAAATGCTCAACTGGACTGAGCAGCCCTTGACCATGTTTCTGCACACTGTGTCCACAGCACTTGTTTCTCCGAGGAACTGAGTCAGAATTACCAAAGCACTAGGTAACAAAGGGAGGTTTATTCCCTGGCTGTTGATGGAAGTGTCTTTATAGAAAGTGTAAAACCACATACAAACATACCCTCTGTCCAGTACCATAAAATAAGCCATAGGAATGTGTCCCTGAACCGTGGAATTGTATTCCCACCACCTCTGCCCCTCAACCATCTGAGCTAAGGGCTCATCTCTGATAGCAGTAATTTCTGCCTGAAAGGACAATATAAGAAATTTTTTATTGAAAAGACTGATGGATGAGAAAGCCTGTCCACACTACATTAGAATACTTTCTAGTCCACAGTACTTAAGAAATTTGTGCAAAATTTGAGAAGATTATTTACTGCAGCTAATGAATTCTAAGGTACCATAAAGTACTGAAAAATACATCACCTCCTTATTTATAAATGCATCCCCCTTTTTATTACAGATGTAATTTTAGTTTTTATTCCACTGCCTTCCTACAGAAATTGACTCAGTGACTCAAATATGCATTTTAAAAGAAAATCTTTTGTACCTCAGTTTTTCCAGAAATTCCACCTTTCAATCTGGCTGATTGTTTTGCTTTTGGTATTTTGAGACAGAGGAAGAAGATTCTATTCTCCAGTTATTTTAGCACTTTCATCCAGCCCCTAATTAATCATCTCCTTTATAAAACCAGTTTACTGAGGCATTGTCTCATTTTCATCATCCTTTCCCGTTTCTCTTTTTTGTGGTTTTTACTGCACCTCTTCATGTGTTGGAGATACCACGTCTGTATGCATTGCTATATGTTAGCATATTTATTTATGGAATGATGTTAGAATACTCTCTATAGGCTTTTAGAAGAGATCATTGAATCTCATTGCCACTGAAGTCAATCACACCACATATTTTCTTCTATAAAATCCACCAACTCAATTTTATGGAAATTAGGCTTGATTTTGCTCCTTCCACTCTTGTTAGAGAACTGTTCTGGTGTTTTGCTACTCTGAATCAGTTTATACCCAATTATTCTTATGCTGACATTGGCCCTCAGTTTTAACTTTCCTGGTTTGTCCATTTTCTAAGCCCTACTTTTGTATATTTTATTTTGTCTCAGCTATTGAACTATTCTTACCTGATCCATGAGTTTTACTTTCTCTCTGATTCTCCTTCAGAGAGCGGCAGGCAGTGGGGAGTAAGCAAGCAGCTGTGTGGTGCTTAGTTGCTGACTGGGGCAAAACCTTGACAAACACTGATTTACTCTTGACTGGCTGACAGAATCACACACTATACTGCAGATCTTTTCTGAAATTACATATCTGACATTGCTGGGTTTACACTTCCCTTTTTAAACAGCTCCTACGCATCTCAAGATTAACTAGTCTCTCTTATCCAAATGCTGATCTTATAGCCAGTGGAAGAAATTTTTTTATTAATCTTTGCATGTCATTAATGGTATTGAATTTAATTATAGTTTCATTAAACCTGTTCTAAGAGACATGCAGTTTGTCCAATATACTAACTACTCCCAGCTCTGTCAGCAGCAGATTTCATTAGACTGCTTGTGTTCTTGATGACACCATTGTGATGAAAACATGAAGGATGACAGGAGCATTGATGAATCACACAGAGCACTTTCCTTCAGTTTGACACTTCCCATATAAAACACCCCTCTGTCATTGTCTCCTGATCCATACGCTCTTCTACTTCAACAGCTGTTTCCTGTCTGGACAGTATCAGCTATTGTTAATCCCAAATAGACTACATCTACCCCATTTCATTTCTTGAAGAGAAGGTCAAACAGAGAAAGATATCCTGCTGAAGCAACATCTCGTGTAATCTTGTGTAAAGTGTTCACTTTATTTTTATTCCATTTACTCTCATATCTTTAATTATTCTCTCCTTCAAAATTTGTCTAGATTATTGTAAATTATTTCCCTCCCCTTCTTCAGTGCAAGTATTCCAGAATGACTTGAGTGCTAGAGTGAAAGTTTGTGCTCCCTTCACCCTCATATCCACACACTTGGCCTGTTTGCACACTGGATGAGATCCTTTGTTTTCCCCCACTGTAGTAATTACCCATGACTTTCTTCCCATTACTCACCTTCCTTCTGCATCCATCTTTCATGCAATCATCTTTATTAAAACTAGAAGCAAAATGCTTCTTTGTTTTCTAAATGTTGCCAGACTTCCTTCAATCTGTATGCCCTTCTCACCACATTACTGCATTGCCCTGTTTCTTTCTCCCTGGTTGAGGTACTTCTAGCTGACATTATTTATCTTCTGCATTTCCTCATCTTGAAGACAAAACATTCTTAGGAAAGTGATCTTCTTCACTTTCATCTTTAGGTTTTCTATTTCCAATAACCTTAGTTACCAAGACTCCAGATAATCTATGAAACCCTTTCCCTTTGCTCAGGGTACAATGTCCAGCTCATTTCTGCTGCACTGGCATGAAGAAATCCTCGTATTCAAGTCCTTGAGTCCTTCAGCCTTGTTGATTTATTTCTAACTGTGCCTCTTACTCTTTCCCCTTTTGACTTAGAATGCCTTTCTATAAATCTGTTTTACCCATCTACTTATCTTAAACTGCACCTATGAAACAATTTCAGTCCGCCTGGTGGGATTTTGGGAGAAGACGGCGGCGCTGAGATCTTCGGAAACGCTCGATCCGTCGCCGTTAGGGTGCTGCGGGTGTTTGACCCCTGAAGAGCGGGGAG